AAATATAATGTAGTTTATTAAATTATAAGATTCATTAGATTGGTGCAGTTCAGGTCTAGTACGAAGATTCATGTAATTACCTGTTACAAGTTGACGCTACAATAATTTTTTTATTCTTTCCACACAGTATGTTACCATGAATTGTTTTTCTTTTATTTTCTACGTCAAATGAATTCCTACCCGCACATGACGCAAATTAACGATAACATTGAAGACGTAGCTGTCATTTACGGTTGCAAGTCATTTAGTTTATTTGTTACTTCTTCAGTAAAGCTACGCAAGAATACTTTTCTCTGAAAACACATTTTAGAGCACTGGAAACCCTTGTGTAAAAACATAACATGAAAAATGAGAAACGCTGCTAAACTTCAACAGCAACAAATTGAATTACGCATAAAATGGTACACATATAGACCTTACATCCACACTAGCTTTGCAACTTGCAAGAATACTTTGCTAATTAGATGTATACGGTAAGCAATGACTGATGGTCTGCCTTGGCCGTATATTCTCGAAGATCCATCAAAGAATTGTAATAATTGAACGTGAACAGACGCAAAAAAACACGAGCGTTTTCCAACATCTGTATTCCAACGCTAGACAACAGGCAGTCCATCCTTTATTGCTTTTACGGTATAGAAAGATGTCCTCGAGAGAATAGCCGATTTGCATCGCTATGGAGTCGACATTTACTACAACTACCAGAATGCTTTGCCAACTTTCTTTTGTAATGCAATTAGTGCCAATTGTTTTATAAATCTCCAAAGGGGATTAAAAATCTGAATAATAATGAAAATGCGCAAGGCTCTCTGGTAGTTGTAATAGAGTTACGTCATAATGCAAATGGCCTATTAAACGTGCATTCCTGCTGGTATATTAAATAAAGCACATTATTGGACCAATCAGTGCGCGCCTATAGGACGAATCATTTTAATCAAAATATTATGAATACAGCTCTATAAATGTGATAGAATTTAGCACTACGAGGTGAAATTGAAATCAAAGAAGTTCATTAGTAAGACGGACAAGATATTGATATCTTATTAACCGAGCGCGAGGGCCGTACGGGAAGTTGACTTATAGCGTAGCGCGAGGGCCATAAAAAGTGGAAAAAAACGAGGTTCCATAACTTCCCGTACGGCTCGAGCAAGCGAGGGTTAATAAGATATTTATTATATAGCATTTTAAGGGAAAAATCATGATAGTAAAATTAATAGAAAATCGGACATAAAAATACGTTTTTGTTCGTACTGTTCTTTTCATGCAAAATAGAAGGAAAAAAGAAAAGCCTGAGAAACCTTGATGGCAAAATTTGGATTCATTTTTGACTCTTTTTTATACAGTACAACAACAAAAAGAGAGAAAGTGAGCCTTTTTAAGATAACTAGACGATCAGCGATCGTTTACATGGGCTTCCTGTGGTTTCCAGTTTAATGAAATTAATATTACTAAGACAAAAGCAAAAAAAGATTTCCTTTAATGAAAAATAATCAAACAAGCAATGTACTTAGTAGAATTTCAAGTTGATAATATTGTGAAAGAAGTAATTTATGTTTGACGAGCCGTTACTTTAAGAGTCGCGTCCTTGGTATTGAACACAGATCGATAGTCTTTCATGTTCTTCGCTTAAAATACTTCCTATCCTCTGTTTTTCCTCAGTATAAATCTGTTGACATGTCTTAGATAAGCCCTTGGTGATTGTAGAGCCTGTTCTATTATAAGTTAGCATTTGATAAGCTAATGTTTGCTAGATAATTCACGATCGGTAGATTCACGATAAATTCGCTCGAATTTTTTAGTGTGGCTATGCCGCGAATGGTGTGTGGATTTGTAAAAGAATCTAGCGTATTTGTAGAAGCTAGATGACCTAGATTCGACATGTACGAGGCGACGTTTGAATTGTTGCTTAGAAACATGAATGACAGTAAGACAATAGATGTCAAAAATCAAAAGGTCCCGGATATAATTTGAAGCATACCACAGACGAAAAACGTCGGTAATTTAAGACATGGTCTTCCTTTGGAAGCCCATGTAAAAAACGTTTTTCTCGTTTCATCTGGTCCGTACGGGAAAGTATGGCCCGCTTTTTAGCCAATGAAATCGCGTGTTACATCCGAGCTATATAATAAATATATATATTAATCTATCAAATGATCGATACATCTTTTGTAGTGATCACCAATTGAAAAGATAGATGCATC